ACTGACAAATAGCGACTCAGAACCGTTGCGTTCGGACACTAAACAGAAAGCTCCCATCAATCCGGGACCTGGAGCGGAGCGCGCGCCCCCTCCCCCACGGAAGTACATACCTGTAACGCAGTACATAGTGTTTTGGTTACACAGAAACAATAAAACAAGTTGTGGATTCTAGTGGTAGACAGAGGAATATATCTATAAGGAGGAGAGGCTGGACTGCACTGCGCAGGGAAAAATAATCATCCAATTTAAACCTTTTAGAAATAAATAAATTAAAATAAGAAAGCCACCAGCGGGGCCGGAGGTTCCCTCCCGGCAGTGCGTTCCCTCCCGGCAGTGCGTTCCCTCCCGGCAGTGTAATCCAACCACAACTCACTTTACAGCGTTTGCAGCTACGACTGGGAAAGTGCCTTGACAATGAAAGAAAGAAAGAAAGACTGCCTACTTGCCAACAGTCCGAACAGAAAGCTCACAAACTCCGCCCACAAAGAACCCAGCCAAGAACACCCATTTATAAAGAAGCTCCGCCCCTGAGGAGACAGAAGTCACAGCCCCCAGTGCTAGAACTGTTGGCAAGTATTACAAAAACATACATTTAGAAAAAACAACTAAAAATGAAGTGGTGCCGATCAGCACATAACGGTCACATGTACCCACAGCGGGCGGTTCTCGTGTGGCATGATCAGGACTATACACAGGAACACGGACGGATTATAGGGGGTGTAAGGCTGGACAAGGTGCTGAAGTGGTCTGCAATCCTCCCATTGTACTTGTGATGATCCGCCTATAAAGCGGGAGCTTCTCTGGGGTGTGATGGGCCACACATCGCAGCGCGGGGCCCCAGCCTTACTCTCAGGAGAACGTTACATAAAAGTTCATAGCAAGAAGAAGAATACAAATCAGGAGGGCTGGCAGCAAACCCCTTCCATGCCGAGCTCCGCAGAGCATCCACACACCAGGTTTGGGATTTGTAATGCAGGAATGCATGCTGGGAAAATGGATGAACAGGTGACTGCTGCTGGGCATTGCAAATAATCGATGTATATAAAAAGGACCGTTAGTACTGCGCATACATCTCCAAGCACCTCCTAGTGGCACATCCTGAACCGCTCTAGGCACTTGGAACTGACAAACATGCTAATGCTTCCACCCTATATTACCCCCCCCCCCCCTACCCCCGTCTTTAATTCTCCCAACTGCCGACCTAAAGTGTCCTACCCAGAATTCCCTTACTAGGGGTAAAGTGAAGGATTCCCAGAAAGCCAGACATACGCCCGTGGGCAGCCGCGTCCCACAGCAGATGTAGGTGGGGGAGGGGATTCCTGTCCGTAGCCTACAGCCCAGCCTTTGCCTCCCACAGACTGGAGCACATGCTTAGTCCAGCTCAGGTCCAAACGTACAAATCTCCTTCTAGAAGCAACATGGCGCACGTTAGAGACAGCAGCTGTTACTTGGCGGCAACCAAGAGACGTGCCATCGCTAACTCCCAACTGAGCCCCCCCACTCTTTCCATTCACAGCACCCCGATTGAAGCATTGGTGGGTGCAGGGACCTGGAAGATGCTAGCCACTTTCTGTACTGGAGGGGTTAATCAGGTGGAATAAAATCAAGGCAAGCTTCCCATAAGGGGCGTGTAACACTGGAGACAAGCTAGGCCCGCCTCTTCCTGCGAGGAAACCTACAGGATCCGCGGTGTCAGAGCAGCCTTCAGTCCGTTATACATGGTTATTATTTGGTCATTTACACAATGGAAGTGTTTGCTTGACAAGCGGGTCAGGCTTCGTTCTCCGTGGGGGCGGAATTCGCTAACACGGCATCGGGCTGGCGGCTCATTCTGTCCAGTTCCTCCTGGACGTTGGTCAGTACAGGCTTCTGTCCTGTGGAAGAGACGCACAGTCAGCGACCGCTTAACCCCGTCATGCCAGAGGGTACAACACATCCAAATGCCTAAGCACAAGTTTACAACTTTGACCCGTGTTAGTAAAAACCGTCACAACTCCTTCATACATCCGGGCGGATTGTACCGCGTTATGTTCAGGACAGATTGGGCTTCATATGGGGATCTCTCTGGATTTTATTATCAAAGGTAAACGGGCAGAAAACAGTAAAAGAAAATAATAATATTAAATGTAGCTGTGTGTTGTCACTACCATAACCGACCACCACAGAACGGCCCGAAATACATTCTCCAGCTCCTGACGATCGCAGCAGCGATACCATGTGTGTGTTACTTGTGTTTGTACCCGGAGTGCGGCCAGAAACAATACGGAGCAATTTGGTTTGTTTTGTTTTTTTACCTAAAACACACTGACACCAATAAGAAAAAAAAAAAAACCCTGACCTTTGACCCTGACCCAAACACTAACCCTGGCGCTGAACTAGATCAAACCTTGCTCTACGTATCTTTTCATTTATTTTTAAATATCTTTTTTTTTTTTTTACAAAAATTTTTTTTCTCTATTCCAGGAGTTAGAGAGATACAATGTATAATAGAATGTATATAATGATACAATGTATAATGGGATGTATATAACGATACAATGTATAATGGAATGTATAATAACGATACAATGTATAATGGGATGTATAGAACAATACAATGTATAACGTGATGTATATAACGATACAATGTATAAATGGGATGTATATAACGATACAGTGTATAATGGGATGTATATAACGATACAATGTATAACGGGATGTATATAACGATACAATGTATACGGGATGTATAGAACGATACAATGTATAACGGGATGTATAGAACGATACAATGTATAACGGGATGTATAGAACGATACAATGTATAATGGGATGTATATAACGATACAATGTATAATGGGATGTATATAACGATACAATGTATAATGGGATGTATATAACGATACAATGTAAATAGGATGTATATAATGATACAATGTATAACGGGATGTATATAATGATACAATGTATAATGGGATGTATATAACGATACAATGTATAATGGGATGTATAGAACGATACAATGTATAATGGGATGTATATAACGATACAATGTATAATGGGATGTATAGAACGATACAATGTATAATAGAATGTATATAACGATACAATGTAAATAGGATGTATATAATGATACAATGTATAATGGGATGTATAGAATGATACAACAATGTATAATAGGATGTATATAATGATAAGTGACTTAGCTCCACCCCTTCTCCTATATATAGTTAGTTATTGAACAGCGCTGTGACTCTCCTTGAGAACGTCACATTGACGAAACGTGTGTGTGTGTGTGTGTGTGTGTGGGGGGGGGGGGGGGGGGGTTTGAGCCTGTGCGCCTGACATCATCACGCTTACCGGCCAAAGGATCTGTACAGCTGGATTCCAAGGGATCTCTGCACTGGAACATTCACCATGGGAGTCATTTGTAGTCATTTAATGATAGACCTTGGCTATTGTTGATTTTACATATATTGTGTGGGGATCATCTGCGCCCCCTTTTTTTTTTACACTACCGCCAGCCTCATTTCTTTTGGGACATGCCACACGTCATTGTGAACCTGGAATTTTAACTCCTTGATAAAAAACAATCAAAAGCCAGGCGCACCAACCTAGTGCATTGTCCCACACGACTTATTTAAAATCTGCATCAAATGTACCAGCAAGCATGTGAATAAAATGTGCTCATCTAGCTACTCGGCTGCAGCCCAAGTGGTCCTCGAATCGCCACAATTCAGAATTTAGGGGGTCCTCACCGAGCTCTAAAATGGCTGATGCGTTTCAAAGGCGACCCCTGAAGAGGGGCTGCCTTATACACAAGCTGGCGAGTACATTTTATGTTTTGTAAATGAATTGTGTGGGATCATCCCTCCCCCTCCCCCCTTTTTCTTAATATATATTTCTTTTGTTGTAACTTATGTCCATGTTGGACTAACCGGCAGCGATGCGTTTATACTGATTATTGTAAAACTAATACATTTGTAAGAAATGAATTGTGCGGGATATTGCACTAGGCTGGTGCGCCATAGAGGGCAGCGAGGCTCCGCCCACATTTCCTCTACACCGGGCGCAGGAGGAATTTTATTTAGACCCGGTAACCCCTCGATGCCTGGGAGGAGCTCACTGAAGGACGCAGATCGCACGCTGGTCATGACCACTATCTAGGAGGGTCCTGAGAGTGTTTCCTGTCTGAGCTCCGGATCCTCGGAGTGTGGGGTCCTCGGATATTTGGTGATCTCATACTCGGATCGCAGACGTCTCTTCCACAATTTATAAAGACTTTTCAGTTTTCCACCAATTGTGATTTCATTCGGGGAACTTGTCTGGTTTTCTGCAGGATTACACGGACTGCGATGTGATACACGGACTGCGATGTGATACACGGATGACTTTTACATATCTATAATGGCTGATATAATGACCCATCAACATTATACTTCCCTTCCTTCCTGCGTTGTTCTGCTCGGTGATGATGGATGGAATGGAGTGCGTTTGTCTATGAAGGTCGACATTATACTTCCCTTCCTTCCTGCGTTGTTCTGCTCGTTATGATGGATGGAATGGAGTGCGTTTGTCTATAATCTACATTATACTTCCCTTCCTTCCGCTTCCTGCGTTGTTGCTGCTCCGTATATTTCTGATGGCTCGGTGCTGATGGAATGGAGTGCGTTTGTCTATGAAGGTCGACATTACACTGAACCTTGCATGGGGAAGGCAAACAATTTACTATACAGTGAGGATCTGAACACGTCCTTTGGTGTCAGAACACCCCAACCCTCGGCACTTTGCTTTGTGTGTAATATTCGGGTTGTGCGTTCTGTTCGGAGGGAAGATCCGCGGCACGTGGCAGAGATCCGCCGGTCAGTACACGTGGAGGTGAGTGAGACGTGCAGCAGACGGGGATCTGATATACAATGGAGGCCACAAGCTGTCAGAAAGAGAAGAAATGGCTGCTTATGTTCCCAGAATCCCCTCCATACCTGGCTTCTTGGCAGCATTCTGTGCAGGTCCCGGCCCCCCTGGGCTCCCCGGTGACCCCGTCTTCTTACTCAGCAGGCTATTGAAGAAGCTGGCCAGGACACCTTCACTGGCTGCTGCATCTGGAACAGGAAACGGTATTATATCCTACGGTATGAGGGCGAGTCTGTCCACATGTGCGGGGCGTTCCATGCCGTCCTATCCGAAATCTACCCCTCCCCCGTAATGCAGAGACACCACCATCCTGAGGCAGGAAGTGGTAATCAGCAGAACTCCGACAATCAATTCGGTGATACTCCCCCGGGCCCGGCGTTCCGTATGCCCGCCCTCCCCGGACCACGCGTTCCGTATGCCCGCCCTCCCCGACCCGCGTTCCGTATGCCCGCCCTCCCCGGGCCCCGCGTTCCCTATGCCCCGCCCTCCCCGGGCCCGCGTTCCCTATGCCCGCCCTCCCCGGACCCCGCGTTCCCTATGCCCGCCCTCCCCGGACCCCGCGTTCCCTATGCCCGCCCTCCCCGGACCCCGCGTTCCGTATGCCCGCTCTCCCCGGACCCCGCGTTCCCTATCCCCGCTCTCCCCGGACCCCGCGTTCCCTATGCCCGCTCTCCCCGGACCCCGCGTTCCCTATGCCCGCTCTCCCCGGACCCCGCGTTCCCTATGCCCGCTCTTCCCCGGACCCCGCGTTCGCTCCCGCTCTCCCCGGACCCCGCATTCCCTATGCCCGCTCTCTCCCCGGACCCCGCATTCCGTATGCCCGCTCTCCCCGGACCCCGCATTCCGTATGCCGCTCTCCCCGGACCCCGCATTCCGTATGCCCGCTCTCCCCGGACCCCGCATTCGCTATATCCGCTCTCCCCGGACCCCGCATTCGCTATATCCGCTCTCCCCGGACCCCGCATTCGCTATATCCGCTCTCCCCGGACCCCGCATTCACTATATCCGCTCTCCCCGGACCCCGCATTCGCTATATCCGCTCTCCCCGGACCCCGCATTCGCTATATCCGCTCTCCCCGGACCCCGCATTCGCTATATCCGCTCTCCCCGCACCCCGCATTCGCTATATCCGCTCTCCCCGGACCCCGCATTCACTATATCCGCTCTCCCCGGACCCCGCATTCACTATATCCGCTCTCCCCGGACCCCGCATTCACTGTATCCGCTCTCCCCGGACCCCGCATTCACTATATCCGCTCTCCCCGGACCCCCGCATTCACTATATCCGCTCTCCCCGGACCCCGCATTCACTATAAATGTGTATTTTCTGCCCATGCCAGAATTCTCTGGATTATTCTGTAAAGGGGAGGGAGAAGGGGGGGGCTCTTACTCTTAATATTGGGGTCTGGTTTCTTGACGGCTGCCATGGGTGAAGAGCTGGGCACGGTGGTGGAACCAGAGCGGCCCGGAGTCCGGGGAGAACCTGTGGGAGCTCTGGCTGGTGATTCCTGAAAAACAAACACATTTTTTATTGTTCTTTTCTGATGTGAAATGTCAAAGTATCGAAGTACAACACAGGAAATAAACCAAATTCCTCCAATGAAATGTGGGCCAAAAAACTTTGTTCTTTTTGTCACTTTGGGACAAGTAGAGGAGGGTTATACCCTCTGCCATGATTCGTTTTTTTCCCATCTGTGTCCCCGTCTGGGAGATCTCCCTGTACATTGTGCTCTGAAAAAAAACATGAAGTGAGGGAAATCCTCGCTGAAGTGAGGGAAATCCTCGCTGAAGTGAGGGAAATCCTCGCTGAAGTGAGGGAAATCCTCGCTGAAGTGAGGGAAATCCTCGCTGAAGTGAGGGAAATCCTCGCTGAAGTGAGGGAAATCCTCGCTGAAGTGAGGGAAATCCTCGCTGAAGTGAGGGAAATCCTCGCTGAAGTGAGGGAAATCCTCGCTGAAGTGAGGGAAATCCTCGCTGAAGTGAGGGAAATCCTCGCTGAAGTGAGGGAAATCCTCGCTGAGACAATTGTCACCACAATAAGTGTCCCCATTGGAGGATTTCCCTCTATTCTCACAGACAGCAATAAAAATCGGACAGATCTCTTCCTTCACTACTATACCAAAAACAAAGAAAAGCTTTTGGCCTGACATTCACATGATGGCCCCGCATGGCGTTTGTACCACCCCGTGTTGTGTATGAACAGAACACCCCCTTTTCATGATGTTGTTCTAGGAGCGATCCCTTATGTGTACAAACAAGAATGGCTGCAGACATTTCCCTGACTTCATCCCGCTGGTCCTGCCCGGGGCAGCTCAGGATCCCCTCAATAGAGACACAGTGAGCTGTAAACACGGATTGAACAAAAAGATGTGTTCAGTAAAAGCTGAACAAGGCCGGATTGTGAGGACGGGCGTCCGTGTCTCAGCCCACGGCTTGTGACTGTCATACCGCCACGCTCTCAGACATTCATGTATCGGGGCTGCGCTGGCTCACCGCCATGAACACATCACACCACCAGGATCTGAAGCACTTCACTGTCTGAAGCAGAGGGGGGGGTACTCCTTGGTACAGCATGGGACCACTAGCCCGGGGCCAGAGATGATCACAAAACAGCTACACACAATCAATTTATCCCAACAAAAAAGGCTTTAAAATCTCACATTTTGTAACATTATAAGAACTGCAATGAAATCCTTCCTGCAGACAAATAATTGGCAGAACAGGAAGGAGGAACAAGAAAAAAGAAAGCAAGAACGCAAAAAAGTTCATCGATTTCCCATATGCTAAACGTTTCCTGTCTGCGTCCCCTTTAGAGGGATTTCCCATCACTTCCTGTCCTGACAGCAAGGAAAAAAATCTCCCCAACAGGAACAAAGATGGCAATGAAAGTGACGTGAGACTAACCTTTCCCCACTGCGTCCCACATAACAGGTTCTTTTCTGAAGTTCATAACACGTTACATGTGACACCCATGTTCATGGAGTAACATGTAGTGAAAGGTCCGCCCCCGCTCCAACCCGCTCCCTGGCAAAATTTGTAAAAAACGCAGCCGTGCATGGCTCCGCAAGTCCTTGTCGTTCTCAATTGTGGTGCTGAAACTTTACCCCGTACTACACTCGGGAATACCGCCGGGAAGGTTAAGGACAGTCCACACTAGGAATCACTCGGGAAACATACTGCGCATTCCTGTGCCATTCACACGCCATTCAGTGCAGTGCAATCCGAGTCCAATCATTTCATCGCACCGCGATCCGAGTCCAATCATTTCACATCGCAGTCCGCGATCCGAGTCCAATCATTACATCGCACCGCGATCCGAGTCCAATCATTACATCGCACCGCGATCCGAGTCCAATCATTACATCGCACCGCGATCCGAGTCCAATCATTACATCGCACCGCGATCCGAGTCCAATCATTACATCGCACCGCGATCCGAGTCCAATCACTACATCGCACCGCGATCCGAGTCCAATCACTACATCGCACCGCGATCCGAGTCCAATCATTACATCGCACCGCGATCCGAGTCCAATCATTACATCGCACCGCGATCCGAGTCCAATCATTACATCGCACCGCGATCCGAGTCCAATCATTACATCGCACCGCGATCCGAGTCCAATCATTACATCGCACCGCGATCCGAGTCCAATCATTACATCGCACCGCGATCCGAGTCCAATCATTACATCGCACCGCGATCCGAGTCCAATCATTACATCGCACCGCGATCCGAGTCCAATCATTACATCGACCGCGATCCGAGTCAATCATTACATCGCACCGCGATCCGAGTCCAATCATTACATCGCACCGCGATCCGAGTCCAATCATTACATCGCACCGCGATCCGAGTCCAATCATTACATCGCACCGCGATCCGAGTCCAATCATTACATCGCACCGCGATCCGAGTCCAATCATTACATCGCACCGCGATCCGAGTCCAATCATTACATCGCACCGCGATCCGAGTCCAATCACTACATCGCACCGCGATCCGAGTCCAATCACTACATCGCACCGCGATCCGAGTCCAATCATACATCGCACCGCGATCCGAGTCCAATCACTACATCGCACCGCGATCCGAGTCCAATCATTACATCGCACCGCGATCCGAGTCCAATCATTACATCGCACCGCGATCCGAGTCCAATCATTACATCGCACCGCGATCCGAGTCCAATCATTACATCGCAGTGCGATCCGAGTCCAATCATTACATCGCAGTGCGATCCGAGTCCAATCATTACATCGCAGTGCGATCCGAGTCCAATCATTACATCGCACCGCGATCCGAGTCCAATCATTACATCGCACCGCGATCCGAGTCCAATCATTACATCGCACCGCGATCCGAGTCCAATCATTACATCGCACCGCGATCCGAGTCCAATCATTACATCGCACCGCGATCCGAGTCCAATCATTACATCGCACCGCGATCCGAGTCCAATCATTACATCGCACCGCGATCCGAGTCCAATCATTACATCGCACCGCGATCCGAGTCCAATCATTACATCGCACCGCGATCCGAGTCCAATCATTACATCGCACCGCGATCCGAGTCCAATCATTACATCGCACCGCGATCCGAGTCCAATCATTACATCGCACCGCGATCCGAGTCCAATCATTACATCGCACCGCGATCCGAGTCCAATCATTACATCGCACCGCGATCCGAGTCCAATCATTACATCGCACCGCGATCCGAGTCCAATCATTACATCGCACCGCGATCCGAGTCCAATCATTACATCGCACCGCGATCCGAGTCCAATCATTACATCGCACCGCGATCCGAGTCCAATCATTACATCGCACCGCGATCCGAGTCCAATCATTACATCGCAGTGCGATCCGAGTCCAATCATTACATCGCACCGCGATCCGAGTCCAATCATTACATCGCACCGCGATCCGAGTCCAATCATTACATCGCACCGCGATCCGAGTCCAATCATTACATCGCACCGCGATCCGAGTCCAATCATTACATCGCACCGCGATCCGAGTCCAATCATTACATCGCACCGCGATCCGAGTCCAATCATTACATCGCACCGCGATCCGAGTCCAATCATTACATCGCACCGCGATCCGAGTCCAATCATTACATCGCACCGCGATCCGAGTCCAATCATTACATCGCACCGCGATCCGAGTCCAATCACTACATCGTACTGCGCCATGAGTAGTGGCATGCAGTACTATTGGAAGCTCACTGCAAGCAGATCACATGATACATCTGTCCAATGCAATCCAGGGCAGGAAAACGCACCACATTGGTGACTTGTGAACGCTGACACCCGCCGTAGATCACATCTGCCGTGTATTCTGTATGCAGTGCGGGAAATGTGCACAGATCACATCTGCCGTGTGTTCTGTATGCAGTGCGTGCGGGAAATGTGCACAGATCACATCTGCCGTGTGTTCTGTATGCAGTGCGGGAAATGTGCGCAGATCACATCTGCCGTGTGTTCTGTATGCAGTGCGGGAAATGTGCGCAGATCATGGGTTTCCCGCACTATGGTCTGGTCACGTATAAGAAAAATCTCTTATCAGCTTCACTTTGAGGAACAAGAACTCAACGCAAAGAGAACCGGTCATAATACAGTTCCTGAGGATCGATCGATGTCGGTAGTTTTACTTCATCGAAGACTGACAGGAGACGGCGAGAGATCATCGGGGAAGCTGCTGGGATAGAACATCAACTGAAGGACTGATATGCACAGCGAGGGGCCCCCGGACCGTCAGGGACCGATCTGAGGACACACAGGGGTACTTACAGGTACGGCTGAGCAGCATTGAGGTAAGTGGTCGGGTTTCCCTAGAATACTCACCGAGGCTCT